TTTCGATTTCTTAGTCATCCGATCCTACAATTTTTCTCAAAACGTCAAAATCCTCAAAACACCAAAATACTAAAATCTTCAAAGCCCCAAAATCCCCAAATTCTCATAACACTAAAATCAATAAATCCTCAAAATACCAAAATCAACAAATCCTCAAAACACCAAAATACTCAAATCCTCAAAACATCAATATCGCAAAATCCTCAAAATCACCAAATCCTCAAAATACCAAAATCCTCTCATCCTCAAAATACCTAAATCCCGAAATCCTTAAAACATCAAAACAACAAAAATCCCTAAAAATCCATAAAACGCCAAAATTTCCAAATCCTCACAAGACTAAAATTCCCAAATACTCAAAACACCAAAATCTCCAAATCCTCAAAACCTCAAAACATCAACATCTCTAAAATTTCCCAAATTCTTTTTGATTTTTTAATTTCATGGTATACAATTTTTCGATTTTACACTTTTGACTTCACTTTCTACATTTTTCAATTTAAGATTTGGTAATTTTAAGTTTCTCAGCAATCAGATTCTTCAATTTATCGATTTTAAAGTTTTTAATTTTCGAGTTTTAATTTTTCAATTTTTTGATTTTCCCATATTTCTCCATGTTACAATTTCTAAATTGTTTCATTTCCCGACTTCGTAATTTTCCGAAATCTCAATTATCCGATCCATCAATTGTTCTCAAAACGTCAAAATCCTCAAATCTTCAAAATCTCCAAAGTCTCGAAACACAAATCTATAAATCCTTAAAACTCTAAAATTCCTAAATCCTCAAGACACCAAAATCACAAATCCTCAAAACTCCCAAAGTTACTAAATCATCAAAATCCATAGAAATCTCTAATTCCTCAAAACACCAAAATTCCCAAATCCTCAACACCAAAACGCTCAAAGCCTCAAAAAACTAATTTCCTCACATCCCCAAAACACCAAAATCTTTAAATCCTCAAAAAACCAAAATCACTAAATCCTCATAACAACAAAATTCCCAGATTCTCAACACCAAAATCCCTAAAAATTCTTAATAAAACCCCAAAATCCTTACAATACCAAAATCCTTAAATCATCAAAACACCAAAATTATCAAATTCTTTGTGATTTTTTAATTTCACGGTTTTCAATTTTTCGATTTTATAATTTTTAACTTTTCACTTTCTACATGTCTCAATTTCTACATTTTTTAATGTAAAATTTGGTAATTTTCAGTTTCGCAGTCATCGGTTTCTTCAATTTCTGGATTTTAAAGTTTTTTATTTTCGATTTTTAATTTTTCAATTTTTTGATTTTCCCATTTTTTATTTTTCGATTTCTCAGTCATCCGATCTTTCAATTTTTCTCAAAACATCAAATTTCTCACATCCTCCAAAATCCCTAAAAATCCCCAAATCCTCAAACCACCAAAGTCTTCAAATCCTCAAAACAGCAAAGTTTTCATATCCTCAAAACACAAATTACTGAAAATCTCCAGATTCTCATAACACCAAAATCCCTAAAAATCCCCAAATTTTCAAAACACACCAAAATCCTCAAATCCTCAAAACACCGAAACCCCAAAATCCTCCAAACATCCAAATCTTCAAATCACAAACACTGCAAACATCAAAGTCCCCAAATCCGCAAAACACGAGCATTACTAAATCCTCAAATCACCAAAATCCTCAAAATAACGAAATCTTAAAAACACCAAAATCCCCAAATCTTCAAAACACCGAAACCCCCAAATTCTCAAAATACCAAAATCCCAAAGGTTCTCAAAACACCAAAATCCCCTAATTCTTTTTGATTTTTAAATTTCGCGGTTTTCAATTTTTCGATTTCCCCATTTTTTGATTCTCGAGTTTTTCGTGGTTTCTACGTTACAATTTTTAGTTTTCTCAATTTTCCGATATTCCAAATTTTGATTTTTCAATGTTTAAATTTTTCAATTTTTGAATTTACAATTTTTAACATTCGACTTTCGCCATGTTTGAGTTGCTACATTTGTTAATTAAAGATTTGGTGATTTTCAGTTTCTCATCCATCCGATTATTTAGTTTCCCCATATTAATGTTTTTAATTTTCGTTTTTTAATTTTTCAAAACACCAAAATCCCTAGAAATCCCCAAATCCTCAAAACACCAAAATCCCTAAATCCTCTAAACATTAAAATTCCCAAATCCTCGACACCGAACTCCTCCAAACACCAAAAAACTTCCAAACATCCAAATCCTCAAAACACCGAAACCCCAAAATCCTCCAAACATCCAAATCTTCAAAACACAAACACTGAAAACATTAGTCTCCAAATTCGCAAAACACGAACATTACTAAATCCTCAAAATAACAAAATCCTAAAAACACCAAAATCCCCAAATCTTCAAAACACCGAAACCCCCCCAAATTCTCAAAGTACAAAAATCCCAAAAATTCTCAAAACACCAAAATCCCCTAATTCTTTTTGATTTTTAAATTTCGCGGTTTTCAATTTTTCGATTTCCCTATTTTTTGATTCTCGATTTTTCCTGGTTTCCACGTTACAATTTTTAGTTTTCTCAATTTTTCGACATTCCAAATTTTGATTTTTCAATGTTTAAATTTTTCAAGTTTTGAATTTACAATTTTTGACATTCGACTTTCGCCATGTTTGAGTTGCTACATTTGTTAATTAAAGATTTGGTGATTTTCAGTTTCTCATCCATCCGATTATTTAGTTTCCCCATATTAATGTTTTTAATTTTCGTTTTTTAATTTTTCAAAACACCAAAATCCCCAAATCCTCAAAACACCAAAATCCCTAAATCCTCTAAACATTAAAATTCCCAAATCCTCAACACCGAACTCCTCCAAACACCAAAAAACTTCCAAACATCCAAATCGTCAAAACACCGAAACCCCAAAATCCTCCAAACATCCAAATCTTCAAAACACAAACACTGAAAACAATAAAGTCTCCAAATCCGCAAAACACGAACATTACTAAATTCTCAAAACACCAAAATCCTCAAAACCCCCAAAACACCAAAATCACCAAATCCTCAAAACATTAAAATCCCCAAATCCTCAAAACGCCGAAACCCCTAGTTCCTCAAAACACCAAAATGGTCAAAACAACAAAATTATCAAATTCTCAACACCAAAATTTCCAAATCCTCAAAAAATAAAAATTCCAAAATAGTCAAATCTTCAATTTTACAATTTTTGACTTTTCACTTTCTCCATGTCTCAATTTCTATATTTTTCAATTTAAGGCTGGCGTCTGGTTCGGTTTAGCCCTATACTAAATACATTGAAAACATCGTCGCAGTTTCCGGAGTTGCATTTTAAAAATATGAGATATAACGCTTTAAAAAAATTATATTTCGAATTAACAAACTTCAGTCCAGGGGACCTCCATATTTATATTCATATCTAGTATGCAGTTTTTACAAAAAAAAAAATATAAAGTTGAACAACTTTTACATCACATTTTAACCGGCACATTGATGCATTTTTTGACGAAGTGCTGAAGTTTTTTGTATTCTGAAATAGGAGGTCCCCTGGGGAAAAGTGTCAGCTTTCTTTTGATACCATTTATAATATTAAAAAATCCACGACTGAGGTAAATAACTCGCGAAAAGTCAAAATCTATTGAAACGAGAAATCGGCATTAAACTAGCTGTGGTGCGGTAGCAAAATGCAGGTTTACTTAGATTCTGACTTGGTTGGAAATTTCAGTATTTTAAAAATGCAATTCCGAAAACTACGACGATGTTTTCAATGTATTTAGTATTGGGCGAAATCGAACCAGACGCCACCCTTAAGATTTGGTAATTTTCAGTTTCGCAGTCATCGGATTCTTCGATTTCTGGATTTTAAAGTTTTTATTTTTCGATTTCTCTTGTTACAATTTCAAAATTGTTTAATTTCTCGATTTCTTAATTTTTCGATTTCTGAGTTATCCGACCCTTTAATTTTTCTCAAGACGTCAAAATCCTCAAAACACCAAAATACTCAAATCTTCAAATTCCCCAAATTCTCGAAACACTAAAATCTCTAAATTCTTAAAAGACAAATCACCAAATCCTCAAAATGCCAAAATACTCAAATACTCAAAACATCAAAATCGCCAAATCCTCAAAACGCCAAAGTTACTAACTAAATCATCAAAATCCCTAGAATCCCTCAAAACACCAAAATCCGTAAAAATCCCGAAATTTTCGTAACACTAAAATCACCAAATTCTCAAAGCACCAAAATCCCTAAATCCTTAAACACTAAAATCCCTAATTCCTCAAAACAACAAAATTCCAAAATTCTCAACACCAAAATCCCTAAAAATTCTTAAAACCCCAAAAATCCCCAAATCCTCAAACCAAAATTTCCCAAATTCTTTTTGATTTTTTAATTTCGCGGTTTTCAATTTTTCGATTTTACAATTTTTGACTTTTCACTTTTTACATTTTTCTATTTAAGATGTTGTAATTTTCAGTTTCACAGTCATCGGATTCTTCGATTTCTGGATTTTAAAGTTTTTAATTTTCTATTTTTAATTTTTCAATTTTTTGATTTTCCCATTTTCTATTTTTCGATTTCTCTTGTTACAATTTTCCGATATTCCAAATTTTGATTTATCAATGTTAAGATTTATAAATGTTTGAGTTGTTACATTTGTTAGTTAAAGATTTGGTAATTTTCAGTTTCTCAACCGTCCGATTGTTCAGTTTCCCCCTATTAATGTTTTTAATTTTCGTTTTTTAATTTTTCAAAACACCAAAATCCCTAAAAATCCTCAAATTCTCAAAATACCTGAGTCCCTAAATCCCCCTAAATTAGATGCGCCCTATTGAGTACAAAAAACTATTTACTTATTTATTTATTTATTTAAATGTAGTCAAATAATAAAGGGTCGGGGGAGGGGAGGAGCAAGTTACCCAAAAAACAACACGGATTCATAAACTACCGAAATAATATTTACCAATGTAAATTATGGTATTGCTAAATTGACGGACCCGAGTCATGGTAAATTCCAGATGAACGACCAAGACCGTACGTCCATCCACGAAGCCATGGAGCAACAATCCATCTCCATCTCCAAAGCTGGAATCGTGACGAGCTTGCAGGCGCGCTGCTCAGTAATAGCTGCGGCCAATCCCATCGGAGGCCGCTACGACGCCAGCATGACCTTCGCCGAGAACGTCAACCTGTCGGACCCCATCTTGTCCCGGTTCGACGTCATGTGCGTAGTCAGGGACGAAATCGACCCCATCCAGGACCAGCATTTGGCGCGGTAAGTAAGATTAGAGTGAGTGACGTCAATACGGAACGACTTCGTCTAGATTCGTGGTGAACTCCCACATCCGCCACCACCCGGCGAACAAAGCCGACACATCTCAAGTCCTGGAGGAGCCGGACGATTTGTCCATCCCTCAAGAGATGCTACGCAAGTATCTAGTGTACGCCCGAGAAAACGTCCACCCGAAACTCCAAAACATGGATCAAGACAAAATCGCCAATATTTACAGCCAACTGCGACAGGAGTCTCTGGTGAGTATGAGTTTAGAGTGAGGAGGTGGAGTAACGTGTAAGAACAGGCCACCGGGAGTCTACCAATCACGGTTCGCCACATCGAGAGCATCATCCGCATGGCGGAAGCGCACGCTCGGATGCACCTGCGTGAGTACGTCCAAACCGATGACGTCAACATGGCCATTAGGATGATGTTGGAGAGTTTCGTGGAGACGCAGAAATACAGCGTGATGAAGACGATGCGACAAGTATGTTCGAAACGTGGTACAATGAGCGGTTTCAGACGTTTGTTAATAGGTGTTCCAGAAGTACTTGCTGTTCAAAAAGGACAACAGCGAGTTGTTGTTTTATATTTTGCGACAGTTATCGCAAGACCAGTTGGCGTTTTTGCGGGGAACGGACGAATCGCACTCTTTAGTCATCGAAATCGACGAGAAGGACCTGAAGGATAAGGTAAGGAAAGGTTAGAGTTGAAGGGGTGGTTTATGAAAAGTGTGTTTGTAGGCGAAGCAGTTGGACATCTACGACCTGAAGCCCTTCTACATGAGTAGGATATTTGAAAATAACAACTTCGTGTATGACGCGGCGAGGAAGGTGATCGTGCACACGATTCCGGAGGCCATCGCGGCGGAGGATTAGGATCTGTTTTATATTTGTACCTGTTTGTTTTATTGATTTATTTTTAATAAACGGTGAAGTCACGACGGGGTATTACAGTCGCCCCCAAGTGTCCAAAATTATCCAGACAGAACTTCAAAACAAGTTCGGTTCAATTATAAATTATAAAATTTACAATCTTTCAAAAACCACAAAGCCATACGAATGTTTAAAATGTGAGCGCAGCGAGCACATTCAGGTGTTATTGAAAATAAAATGAACTTCCAAAATGTTAACAGAGGTTTTTGGGACTCCTAAACGTATTTTATTGCAATTATTAAATAATTTATCATCATGGACGTATCTGGAATAATTTCTTAAAATAAAACCGAAATAAATTCGCTTGTATTTCATTTGTCAACACTCCCAGGAAACCAAATTATTACAAAGAACAGTCCAAATGCAAGCACAGCGAGCACGTTCAGGTGTTATTAAAATTAATTATCAGCGTCCCTGAGATGCCAAATTATTATTATTTAAAGAATTGATCGAAGGCTATTTGAATTTTGAATGTTTTTATTTGTAGATTCGAGTTTCACCAGTTTTCAATTTTTGATTTCTTCAATTTGCAATTTTTTGTTTTCTTTATTTTTTCAATTTTTCGGTTTTTTAATGTTCTGATTTTCTAATTTTTCTGTTATCATTATGATTTTTACTTCCCGAGCGTAAGCAAAGGAAGTATTGTAATCGAGTCCGTCGGCCGACTCTCTACTTTTACGTTTTCTCGATCTTTCATGACCCCTAGAAGACGAAGAAATAGGTCTCCCATTTCCGTCTGTCTGTCCGTCTGTCCGTCTGCCGTCCCGGACTTTTATTAGACAGATAATCTCCGAAAGTACTCGACCGATTGTTGTGAAATTTTGTGCTTATATTAAGAATATCATGTAGATGGTAAAACGCTAACCAAAATTTGTCTAATCATCCCCACCACTAATGCGATGACGTCACTTCAAAATTGTACACAGTAAATGGGTTTTAAATTGTATAAAATAACATAGTCCTACACATGTAGTTTACAACTCCGAATCGACTTTTCACCCGAAACGTCCAGATTTTTGGAAAAAAAATCAAAATTATAAAACAACATTTTGAAATTTAATTTTTAATCTGCTAACCAGAATGCTTTGAAATCTTGCAGATGTTTTAAGGCTATAAAGAGCATCATAAATCTTTAGTCAAAAAATATTTGCTTATCCCCTCCAAAAACTTGATGACGTCAGCTGAAAAGTTTGTGGAATAAATCATATCTAAAATGTACAAAATATGATCAGTCTGTACTTGTGATCTATCACTCCATTCATTTTTTTGGATTTGCATATACAGGGTGACTCAAAAAAATTAATGAATGCGCAAATTTATTTTACTGATTTACTCAGAAACTACAAAACCGAATGCTTTGAAATCTTGCAGATGTTTTAAGGTTATAAAGAGCATAATAAATGTTTAGTCAAAATACATTTGCTTACCTCCTCCAAAAAATTGATGACGTCAGCTCAAAAGTTTGCCGAATAAATCCTATCTAAACTGTACAAAATATGATGAGTCTGTACTTGTAATTTATCACTCCATTCATATTTTTTGGATTTGCATATACAGGGTGACTCAAAAAAATTAATGAATACGTAAATTTATCTTTTTTTTAATCATGAACTGCAAAACCGAATGCTTTGAAATCTTGCAGATGTTTTAAGGTTATAAAGAGCATAATAAATGTTTAGTCAAAATACATTTGCTTATCCCCTGCAAAAAATTGATGACGTCAGCTCCAAAGTTTGCCGAATAAATCCTATCTAAACTGTACAAAATATGATGAGTCTGTACTTGTGATTTATCACTCCATTGATTTTTTTTTTAATTTGCATATACAGGGTGACTCAAAAAAATTAATGAATGCGTAAATTTATTTTATTGATTTACTCAGGAACTACAAAACCGAATTCTTTGAAATCCACTGCGAAAAAAAAAATTAATAGGCATGCAGTCGTCACGTTTCCGACAGCGAGGGAAGTACTGTCTAAACTCTTTAGACCAATTTTTTTTTTTGATGTGCAATTCTTCAATTTTTCGAATTTTTGACTGTTAGATTTTTCAGTTTCTCGATTTTTCAATTTTTCGTTTTTTCAATTTTTGATTTGTAGTGTTTCTAGTTTTCATTTTAAATATATATCTCATAGGTATGATTATTTCAAAATTTTTCACTTTTTCAATTTTACAAAACATTAAAATCCTCAATCAAAATACCATTAAATAAAATAAAAATAAAAAAAAAATAATCCCGAAATCCTCACCACACCAAAATCCCCAAATCCTCAAAATACCAAAACCATCAAATCCGCAAAACACCAAAACACTCAAATCCTCAAAACATCAAAATCTCCAAATCCTGGAAACACCAAATCGTCAAAACACAAAAATCGCTAAATCCTCAAAACACCAAAATCACCAAATCCACAAAACATCAAAATCGTTAAATCCTCAAAATAACAATATCTTCAAATCCTCAGAACACCAAAATATTCAAAACATCAAGATCGTCAAAACACCAAAATCACTAATTTTTTTATTTTTACAATTTTTCAGTTTTTTTTGTTACTTCAATTTTACGATATTCAACTCTTCGAGTTTTATTTTAAAATTTTTGAGTTTTTCAATTTTCCAACTTTTTGAAGTTTAAATTTTTCAACTTGCAGTTTCATGAGTTTTCACTTTCTAATTTTTCGTTTTTTAGTTTATTGCAATTTTTCATTTCTTCAATTTTTACTTTTGGTTTTTTGTTCTTTTATTCTTGAAAATTTTCGGTTTTTCAATGTGAAATTTTTCATTTTTTCGATTTTTCAATTGTCCGATTTGCAATTGTGCGGTTTCCAATTTTTCGATTTCTCGACTTTCAGAATTTTCAATTTGTCCATTTTTAGACTTTGATTTTTTGATTTTCCAATTTCCCAGTTTCTCGGATTTTCAATTTTTCGATTTTTCGACTTTTTCCGGATTTTTCATTTTCTCGTTATTTCCGTTTTTCCAATTTATTCTTGAAATTTTTCGGTTTTTCAATGTGAAATTTTTCATTTTTTCGATTTTTCAATTGTCCGATTTGCAATTGTGCGGTTTCCAATTTTTCGATTTCTCAACTTTCAGAATTTTCAATTTGTCCATTTTTAGACTTCGATTTTTTGATTTTCCAATTTCCCAGTTTCTCGCATTTTCAATTTTGCGATTTCTCGATTTTTCGACTTTTTCCGGATTTTTCATTTTCTCGTTATTTCCGTTTTTCCAATTTATTCTTGAAATTTTTCGGTTTTTCAGTGTGAAATTTTTCATTTTTTCGATTTTTCAATTGTCTGATTTGCAATTGTGCGGTTTCCAATTTTTCGATTTCCCAACTTTCAGAATTTTCAATTTGTCCAATTTTAGACTTCGATTTTTTGATTTTTCAATTTCCCAGTTTCTCGGATTTTCAATTTTGCGATTTCTCGATTTTTCGACTTTTTCCGGATTTTTCATTTTCTCGTTATTTCCGTTTTTCCAATTTATTCTTGAAATTTTTCGGTTTTTCAATGTGAAATTTTTCATTTTTTCGATTTTTCAATTGTCTGATTTGCAATTGTGCGGTTTCCAATTTTTCGATTTCTCAACTTTCAGAATTTTCAGTTTGTCCATTTTTAGACTTCGATTTTTTGATTTTTCAATTTCCCAGTTTCTCGGATTTTCAATTTTGCGATTTCTCGATTTTTCGACTTTTTCCGGATTTTTCATTTTCTCGTTATTTCCGTTTTTCCAATTTATTCTTGAAATTTTTCGGTTTTTTAGTGTGAAATTTTTCATTTTTTCGATTTTTCAATTGTCTGATTTGCAATTGTGCGGTTTCCAATTTTTCGATTTCCCAATTTTTCGATTCATCAATCTTTCAATTTTTCGTTTCTTCTGTTTTTCGAGTTGCAATTTTTTGAATAAAAAAAAGGAAAAATTGTAAAATTGAAAAATCAAATTGACAAAACGAGAAAATATGCTTTTTTAAAAATTGGAAAATTGAAACTGAGAAACTTAAAAATCGAAACAACGAAATATTGAAAACGATAGAAATCTGAAAAATCGGATAATTTGGAAATTCAAATATGTACTGCAAAATTTAAAAATTGGAAAATCCAGCGCAGCGAGCACGGTCAGGTGTTACTAAAATTAATCATCGGTGTTCCTGAGATGCCAAATTAGTATTTCAAAAATTGGTCGAAGGCTATTTGAATTTTGGATGTTTTAATTTTTAGATCTGAATTTCACGAGTTTTCAGTCTCGGTTTTTCTGATTTTCTAATTTTTCTTTTCTCGTTATGGAATTTTTCAATATTTGGATTTTTCAATTTTTTGATGTGTAATTTTTCGGTTTTCAATTTTTCGAATTTTTAACTGTTAAATTTTTCAGTTTGTCGATTTTTCAATTTTTCAATTTTACAAAAGATTAAAATCCCCAAATCCTCAGAACATCAAAATTCCCATATCCTCAAAACACAAAAATTACTGAATCCTCAAAATCACCAAATTCTCAAAGTACCAAAATCACTAATTCTTTATTTTTACAATTTTTCGATTTTTAAATGTCCTCTTTTTATAATTTTTTGTTTTTTCAATTTCAATATTTTCAATTTTTCGATTTGCAATTTTTCAGTTTTTCATATTTTTTTGTTTCTTCAATTTCACGATACTCAACTCTTCGAGTTTTATTTTAAAAATGTTCAGTTCTTCGATTGAAAAAGCTTTTGAACGTTTCGAGCACGGACCTAGATAAGCACAGATAGATAAGTTTTTTTAGTTTTTTAGTCCGTGGCACGGTGGTATAAGTAAGGTGTTTCAACTCCATTCATAAATTTTCATAAAACGGGCGCTTTTGAACGTTTAAATTTTTCGATTTTTAGATTATGCAATTTTTCATTTCTTCAATTTTTCAATTTCCAGTTTTTACTTTTGGTTTTTTGTTTCTTTATTTTTAAAATTCATCGGTTTTTCAATACGGAATTTTTCAATTTTTAAATTTTTCAATTATTCGATTTGCAATTTGTCGATTTTCAACTTTTCGAATAAAAAATATATGGAAGAATCTGCAAAACTGTAAAATTGAAAAATCAAAAATGAAAAACGAAAAAGTAGAAAATTAAAACTTTAAAAAATCTAAAAATTGGAATTCAAGAACTTGAAAAGTTGAAAAATCTAAATTCCAACGATCCTGCTTTGAAAAATTATAAAATTTGATTTTGCAAAATTTGTAATAACCTCTGTGTATCAAAAGCAATATAGAAAGTACTAGTTAGAGTGTAAGAGAAAAAGAGGTTTCATTTTCTTAAAAAAAGGA